CCTCCTACTGCAGCTTTCAGTTTGAAGGAAACAGTATCTACTCACCTCTTTAATCAAACACTTTGCAATATCTCTATTACTTCTTGTACATAAATGCTAAGCTGGGCTCCTCTGTGTTGATTCCAAAGGAAACTGGATGAGTAGGTTGGAAATGTTCAAACACCTAGCACTGTATGGATGGCAGCAGGGTGGGCAACTGAGAGAAGCAGAGAGCATGGGGGAGCTGAGGAAGGCAAAAAGGGAAAATATATGGAAGAGATAACAAAGAGGTTTCATTTTCCTACTCTTCATCTCAGCTGCAGCACATCTACATGGGATTCAGGTTGGAACCCATCACCCAGAATGGTAGGAAGATGTGCAGGGGGAGGTTTAGGTTGGACATTAGGAAGAGATTCTTCACCCAGAGGGTTGTGGAACACTGGGATGGGCTCCTCCGGGAGGCAGGAATGGCCCCAAAACTGACAATATTCAAGAAGCACTTGGACAACATCCTCAGGGACATGGTGTGAACTTTGGGGTTGTCCTGTTCTGGGGCAGGAGTTGGACAGGGTAATCCAGGCTGTCTGAGGTTGAGGGTTTAGTGGTGGATGTGGCAGAGTTAGGGTAGTGGTTGGACTCGATGACCTTGTAGGTCTTTTCCAAGCAGAGTGATGCTGTGATACCACTCAGCTTGCTGAAGAGACAAGTGATGCACTGACCTTGGGCTGAAGTCCCCCACAGGATGACATTCAGCTGAAGTGGACTGAAAGAATCCAGTGGGATTTAGGTGCTACCAGTAGTGTGACCACTCTGTGGGCCCACTGTCACAAGTTTGGGGGTATATTTTTTCTCATCATTGGATGGAAGGCAAAGTCCTACATGTACTTGATCCACACTTGATCTAACTTTTTTTCTCTATAATGTATTTTACCTGTTTTAAAAGATGAACAGACAAAACCATCTAGAATAGCCATATAGGAATAACTCCCCAAGACAAGATGGCTCTCACTGAATTGTAGAGGTATAGGATGATTAAAGAGGCTAAAAGCTTTAGCAAACTGCTGTGAAAACTGGGCCTGTGCTCACAGGGACTTCAGGCTGCCCAAGAACATCATTAAGATGTTTTGTTCCTGCATGCATTATCCCCACAAACATGCCTGAGCTGCCCAGAGGGCTCTCTGGGTCACAGAGGAGCCTCCAAGGCATGAAACAAGGGGGACAATGAACATCTGAGGACCAGCAAGACAGACTGTTGATAAAAATTTCTCCTGACAACAGTAATACTTGCAGCACCTTGGTCCAGGCTTCCCCCAGGGTGTGCAGGGAGCAAGACAAGACATTCCTGGGCTGCTGGGGACAGAGGACACTGTGCTCATGTGAAGGGCTGAGCAGTATGTGGGACCTCCAAGCACAGACATTCTGCAAACTTCCCATAAACTGCACAGCCAGTTGGCTTGTCCAGGACTGTAAGAAAAATACTTTGTTAGGCCTCAGGAGTCCAGATACATAAGAGCACTAGTGAGCTGCTAATAAGCAAGTGGCTTAGCATGCAATTAACTTTAGAAGATCCTAAAGCATAACCTGTGCTGCAGCCCAGGGGAGAGGCATAACTCTGTTATGATAAACCACAAATGCCCTGTAATTACCCAGCCACACCACAGCCACCACCCTATCATTAAGTGCTCAACAGTTATCATGTCATTGAAAGAAAGCTGCAGAATGCTTGTAGAATTTAAAACGCTGCTAAATACTGGTCTGGGGTTCAAAGGATTAAGAGGCAGAGGAGGAAACATAAAGGTAAGTAACAACAACAACAAAGTATTCTGCTGCTTATAGTTTTCATATCACAATCAACAGGTAGGAAACTACTGCTGAACAAGTGAATAGAGAAGCTGAAATTCAGCTCTAGAGCTCCCCAGAAGAGCTTGAAGTGCTACATTTATCCACCTGCTGACAGGGATG